CAAGGATGTGATACTAGTGGAATTTAGATTGTCGCTTGGAATTCGGGAAGACAGTGACTGCTTGCTGTATCAAATGGCATCGATTTATCCTGATATCAGTATGCATTTGGATAAGGAGGACACTATGGATGGTCCTTCTGAAATACGACAGATGGTAACGACACATTTATTCCTATCTATGTAGGAGCACAAAAGTTTTACAGGCATGGATGAGTATTTTTAAATTACATCAATTCAGTTTATGGTGAATTTGCATGATTTCTGTTCTTTTTGACTTTGTTTGGGGAAACAGTCTGCTAGCTAGTCATTCAGTGGAGCACATGAAGAAATACAATAGATGGTCCTTCTGAAACGTAAAGGTGATAACAGTTATTATTGCCCTTCTATCGAAAAGTAGGTTGCAGCTGCATCCTGCCACTAGTACACCTGTTACGTAAGTCATATCACAATAATCATTCATTTTCAGATCGCTAAGGTATTCTGAGCTCCTTCAGGAATTACCCATGGCTATGAAGGACATGGAAGCTGCACTTATGACTCTATTTTTACCCATTTATTACTAAACAGCTTATCTAGATGGACTTTGTGATGTTCAGGTCACAATGCTTGGGTGTATGTAGTGTCGCGTGATCTATTTGACTAAATTAACGTACACGTATTTCCTAGTACTTCCTCACGTTTATCGATGTGCATAGACGTTGTGGCTAATCAACGCCCACAACGTAAAACCAAAAAGCACTTGTGAAGAGTGTAATCGTGTATTATAGCAGTAGTCAAATTTCAAAATTGTGTCAAGGTAATGTTCAACGGTAAATTGACAAACGTTTGCGAAGTACGTATAAAATCGGTCTCTGCAAACATATAATACAAGTATGCAAATTAGATTAAAAGCGTATGTTTATAGTTGTTATAGGGGTACTTCAGTAGTAACTGCATGCTGTCTTCCGTGAAGGGACGGTTGGTGAAAATGAAAACGAAATCAAGCTTCCTATAAAACATTAAGAATATTGAAAATTTCCGACAGGAAACCTAGTCAAAGGAAATGCTCTGAACAGATAGAAATAAGTGTTATTCCAGTTTTCATAATTACTATCCTTTGGATGTGGCAGCCATGTTTCAAAGTTCATAATGATGCCAAAACATGAATTCGTCATTTGCTTAGTGCTCTGTTTGACAAGAGAAACATTTTACTTGATGGTGAAAAACAAGGAGGAATTCTGTCATGACCACAAGATGAGAGAGGAGAATGAACCTTTGTCGGAAGAGGTAGGCAGGTATAGAGCGTTTGACTTCCATATTACTTTTTTCTAACTGCAGTGGATACAACAATGCACTTCATTCATTCATTTGCAGAAGTGCGGTAACGTCAGTCAACCTGATCACAGCAGTTCAACGCCGCTGAAGGAATTATGACAAACAATTTTATACAGACATTTGTTTGTTATTATTTTTAATTACATATCCCTCACATTCTTCATACCATACTTTTCTTATTCTGCAAGTGGAAAGAAATTTGTCGTTATGACGAGATGGAGGCTTGACCTACTAGTGAGACTTGAGAAAACAATTGTTGAATGCACTTAATCTTATGCGAAATTGAACTCCACCTCAGTGCCTAAGTTCTATTCTTGTATTTCAAATGAAGAGGTTAGGTCACTTTTGTCACTGGTCCCTACAGTCTTACCCATTGCTGTGAGAGGTACCTTTAGCAGATATTTAGGCTTGGATAAGTTGCTTATAATTAACCACTTATACTGATCGATAGTGTTGGTGCAGAATTACACTTACGTCTAGTAACGAGTTCGTATCCTATGGAGTACCGATCTAGCATGCCGTACTCCCATCACAAGTTTATCAGATAGAACACAAGAACATAGGATAAAAAGTTTTACTTCACTACAGCGCAAACAAGTTTATTTAAATATACTGGCTGAGCATAGTTCAAGATGGAAGTCTTTGTTTGGGAAGTTTCCCCCATTATTCGACAGATCCTGTGCAGTGTCCGAATTGCGTCACGTTTAAATTCTTCCGCAATTCAAGCAAACAGGACTGTATGCCCACACCCAAAGTTATCCGGTATCACAAACTGGAACAGGGAATATCTGCATGGTTGTAAGTGGATAAGTGAACTTATCTTCTCTTGTATTCAGAATCAATTCCCATAACTGATCGTGCAAATGTATCTGATCATAAGTCGTAAGACACGACAGCAACTACCTGCGGCAAATCAAAAATCCAATTGATCCCTAATATACTAGACAATGAAAGACGAGGAAACCAGAAGCGAAGTAAATTTAAAACGTGATAGCGTTAATCCACATCCCAACATTCTAGGCAGAGGATAGAGGCACAAATCAGTTGATCGCTGCATAGATCAGGTATGGTAGTGTTGTTGTGTTTTGGCTACTTTAGATTGCTATTGCGAATTTTCGATGGGAATGCGTTGCAAATACCATATTTTAAGCTTGTGAAAATCGAGGAAAATAGTTTTTTGAGTCTGTTATTAAAATGCTGTATCAACGTCGAAGTAAAATGCTGAAGTGCATACAGAATATCAGCATTCGTTGTATATTGTAACAAGAAATGCTTAATGATTCACATAAGTAGAACACATTTCCGATAATGATGATGAAATATGTTGAATATCGGGTTAATTATAATTTCATGATACTCACAAAATTTCGCAGTCAGAAAGGAAACTGAGTTGTATAATTTGTGAGATAACAGTGGCGAGACACTCATTCATCTGAAGGGTAATGCGTTTTAAACTGCTTATTCATCCTTTTTGTTCACATTCGTCACTTGCCTAAAGTCTGGTTGCTTTTGTGGGAAAAAACTCAGCAACGCCACAAATGTTTGAACGAAGCTATATTTTTCGTCGGAAACGTCATAGTTTCCATGTTATGATCTGTATGGTTAGCGTTAAACATTGCAAATGCATACTATTATTACAAGGACTCTGTAGATACTTCTTGTATATAACCTGTAAATGCACTTTCAATGGTGTATCATCCATAGTTGTATTTCATACCACTTTACAGTTTCTCAGGATGTTCTTCTCTTTTTGAAATAGAATTTGTTCACGTGGGGGCATGGCATTTACCAAAATATAGACTGCTCACTGGTTGACAGTAACTGTCAGCAGGAAGTTTGAGTTGACGCTCAACTTTGGTGAACACCTTAGTTAAGGGTTTCAAATTTAACGTTTACACTAAACTTTACCAACAGCTTGTGTAATAACTCAACAACCCAAACTTTTGATGAAGTGCCAACTTACGATAATTTACAAATTGTAACTTATAACATAAATGATCGTGCCTGTAAAAGCTGTATGCATTTCTTGTGAACTTACCTGTTTCTAGGAAACATAACTTATTATTATTTCTCAATTGAAGTTTTGTCATTTCTATTTTCCAGTTTATGGCCTTCAATTCCGCAATCTTTCAGTATATTTAGACGTTCCAATAAAATAAAAACGGAGAATATATGTATGAGTGATGAAATATTTGTGATATTATGAATGCATTCGTCAAGATAAATATTTCTAGAAAGTTTACATACCATTCAACATTAACAGCGCTTATTGTTTGGCGAGGTTCAAAGTGATGCCAATTTAAAAGACATAATTTGCCTAAAATGTCCGAATGAATATGGGTATAATGAAGCACTCTTAGCGCTCTTATGTGATTGCTTCTGTCGATAGACTGTAAGCAGAATATATGCACAACAAAAACCGATGTATTAAGATACATTGTTTTACGACAACAAAATAACCAATGAATTCGAGTGGTGTAGTCAACTTTTAATGCATAAGTCTAAGTGTTAATGTGACCATATGAGCGCCTATTGGTACGAAATGATAACGCGAGAAGATGGATGCAGTTATCTTTTAATACTAAATGGTTTCCTTCAAAACAGTGGTGTTACAAGCGACATGAGGATAATAGGCTACTTGTGATAAATAGGATACACGTTTCACAGTGTACTTGAGGTGTCTAGACTATCAATATAATTTGCGTTCGTGTACGAACTACTTTTGCTAAGTCATATTTCATTATTCCGTTACAAGTACAAGTTCAACGGCTATGTTAACACCAATGAATACTAATGTTATACGCAACCGGATTAAATGTGAAGCATTTAGCACAAGGCTTGATAATGCATTGAGGTTTAGGGCTTGACTCACTTCACATAATTATTATGTTGCCTGTCATTCTCCTTAACTATCCTATGCCCTCGAAATGATAAATGAGACAGATAATCGACACAAATGCATATATTTACCACGAGACAAAAATCAAATTAGTTGAAAATGTTTTAGTATGAAAGAGTACATACTTACACTAAAAACGGTCAATAACAATTCAGTGAAAAAAAACAGTTGTAGATTGTTTGTAGCTGAGCTGCAGTTATCACAAAGCCTACTAATCATTCTATCCACAAGATATGGATCAGTTCCTCTATGTTGGTAGCGGTGTTGAACCATTCTTTGAAGTCTTCATCACCACCAGATCCCCCAGGAGAAATTGGATATGATGTTTCCATGCAAAGATTGGGGTTGTATTACCTCGATTACCTTCGGGTGCACTGCGCAATATCTGGGGATGTATACAGTCAGGTGAATTGATCTTACCTCTTGTGAACAATCCCTTTTCTTAGGCGCATCGAATATGTGAAGGAGGGAGGGGACAATCATAGAATTGTTGAAATTCTATGAATTAGTCGTCCATACATGCTGGATTTGAAGAATCTTAGAACTACCGAAATATCCATCGTAGTTCTCTTCTGCGAAAGCAAATGTTACACCGCTGCCTCTTTTATCGATCCATCAAAACCAAATGAAAATGATTAAATCTTCAAAATCTATACTTCCTTAAGTTGCCCAAAACATCGCATCTGTGAAATTCACATATTTTCCCCTAGGCTGAAAAATATATCTGTCTGATTTTATTATTATTACTTCAAAGCTCGCCTCAGTAACGCGCAATACGTATTGGCCGCAACGGTTACTCAAAGGAAAAGCTACCAATCACAACATGCACAGGCGACCTTCAGGTGCTCAGCCTCTCCGTAAGCCGTTTGTACTCCTACTCTCTGTAAACATTCCATGCTAAGTTGCTGTACGTATTTGTAGTATGCTGACTCTCCTTATGAACCACGACTGTATCCTTGCAGAATAGCACCTACAAATGTAATTTCCACATGTTTGATTCTTAAAATGTGGTCCTCCCTTAAAATCACTATCCCTAAAGATCAAAAACATTTTCACTTTTAGTGCTTTGGAAGAAGTAGGAGAAGGTAATCATATGGAACGGTGTATATGTGAAAAACACCTATGTCACTGAAAATATTCACTATGTACATTTCTTTCGCATTATTTGAGGGTTCATAAGGAAGGCTGTCCGGGGTTAAAATGTTTGCCCACATCATTCCTCCACTCATCCTATTACCTTGTGATCCAGTCCCCGCATTTTTTGTCAGAGTAAGTCTTTGTGTGGGTAGACTGGCTTTGGCCTGTCTGTATTTACGATGCTGGGAATATTGCGACAGTGATTTCAGGTGATTTGATTGCCTAATTCATTTCCCGTATGTCGATCTAATTGGTGGCATGACATATCTTAACTAAACGTAGGTTATGGAACTCAGAATTTGGAGGATATAGACAGTTCTTGGTTCGTTCTTAGTGGAGTCATTTCGTTCGTTCAAAATCGGAGCGGCGTTCAACTGATGCTGCACGGTAGGTTGTTTTCTGGTGTAGGAATGATAAGTTAACATAAATTCGTCCGTCGTAGTAAAAGTTTAGGTGTCCATTACTACGGTGGGTGTGAGTGGTGAAATAGATCAGTCATTCCATCTGCTTCAGAATAGCCTCACGACTTCCCTGCAATCTGGTTAATTTATTTGTCCTCAGGTTTGATATTACGGCTTTGTGAAACGCTCTAGGTGAAGAAGCCAGGATTTTGGAATTTGACTCGAAAAATCAGAAACCTATTTTCCGTAACTCCAAGGGTGTCTATACCTGCTGTAATCAGCTTTCCGTGCAAAACTCAGATTCTGTGCTGTGTGAGTGAGGAATAATACTGTGTAGCGTGCTCAAAATACGAATGGCTGAGATAAATAAACCCGACGAAAGCTCGAATGTAACTATATGACATCATAGTAGGCATGGCATTCCAGCTACTTCATTATTATAATAAACTATACCCAAGCCATTCGACCAATGGAATGTATCAAACATGAAGCGAACATTTTCTGAGCTTCTGAATAAATAGAGTCCTCCAAAAGCACATGAGGACCACTAGTAATCCATTTAGGCTCAAAGCATTATACAGCAATACAAAGTATAGGTCACGTCAATTTCATGTATCATTTAGGTCATATCTGTCTATAGACAGATGGGAAATATAGGTTCCTTAACATTTCTCAATAACAAGTCATCCATGAACTCTTTTTGTTCGAAATGCGAAAATTTTTGATTCATTATCTTTGAGTGTAACAAAGTTAAGGAATTAAGTTCTGAATTCATGGAGAAAAAGTTCATGCTAACGATACTATAATTGGGAATTTTGTGAGCTGCTTATTGTGGGGTGAGGATAAATGTTATCGTGGTATAATTTCGCTCACTGTACGGGTTTTTCATGTTCATTCGTATTTTATAAAGATTGTTTGTTTAACTCCCTTCTGATTAAAATGTTGGTTTTTAGCCAACCTTAAAAATACATTAACGATCTCCAGTTTTCGTATTTTATTGTATAATAAACCAGGTCGTGCAACATGACCTTTCATGGATAAGCTTGGTCATAAAGTTTCTTGCTCTTGAGTCTAAGTTCGTTAGTTCCTTTTACCAAAACAGCAGCTAGTCTAGTTAATAAACTGATGCAGAAATGGAGTAATCCATCATCTGAGTCCTAAATCTGAGCCTCAGCAGCTTATAAGAATGTAGGGAGAAAGAAGTCGCGTAATCGTTAAAAATGTATTACAAAGCATCACCAACACGAAACTGTACTGGATAATTGTCTCTCATGTGTTATAAGAATATCTCACAGTTACTCCAAAGACATCTATACAGAAATCATACAATGTGCGACTGATGTATTCATGTAGGTGACTGAAGAACAGGGCACTTCGGGATGCATTGACCTTCTTCACTCTATTGTTTAACCTACACCTGACCTTAACTGTAAACCTTAAAAAAACCAAGAACCCGGATAATAACGACCATATTCTACCTGCCATAATCCTACCGGTTTGTGAATATGGCATCCCTTAGTTACTCAACTTCGCCTGACCAACACGTTGAATCTGATAATTCCCCCAGCGTTACACAGTAATATTTACTGATGACGTTTCGAGCACAACTTATTGCTCATAATCATATCAAGGTACTCAAACAACTTTCTTGCCTCGTTTATATTCATGAGTAAAAATTGATTAGACATGAATGAAATCAATAAAAGTTCAGAGGACATGCGCGAAACAGATAGGAAAATAAAGTACATTCGGAAACAATATTAGTGTTGTCAATAAAATATAATACAAATGGGAATTGAGACGAGTGTTGTTAGTTAACAAGATGGGGAATAAGATGTTTTTTAGTAAAAAATAACTTGTTAGAGTGTTATAATGTGAATTGAAATAAATTTTAACATTATTTATTATCCTCTGATTTGACTGGTAACAATATCTGCCATATCTCTGGTATTTACGTTGAGTCACTTCTATTGCATGTGTTGGGTGTAGACTCGATGAACAAGGATTCAGTAGTAAGCCTTTCTCTCCACCTACCCATATTATTTTTTAGAACTTTGACTCTGTCCCACCCTATTGTGTGGTTGTGCGTTAATGCATGCAGTGGAATTGCTGAGTTTCTATCTAAATAATTTATCTTCGTGGGATCAATCATTTAACCTTAGCTAAATTCTTATGTGCCGATAATCTCACTATTGATTTACTAGTTTGATCCATGTAGTTGACTTAACTCACAGTCATTGCAAGGTATTTTGTAAATTATATTATTTTGTTTAATTGGGTCAACAAGGTCCTTTAGCCTACAGAGCCCCCTCATATGACAAAACTACTGTAGATGCCTTATATTCTTTCAAATTTATGTCATCATTATTAGTCTCACCATTATTTTTATTTTGCTTTTGACCTTTACTGATCTTCCTAATTAATTTTATAGGATAGTTAGTTATTAAACACCAACGCTTCTTCTATCTGTTTCATTTTATCATTCAGGGGTTTTGTTGTACTACTTAGTGCTATTGTTCTCTTTGTTAGACATTTAACTAACCCTGCCTTTACAGATAACGGATGAGATGAATTAAAGTCTAAATATCTATTAGAATGCGTTGGCTTTTTATAGATGCTGGTCTTCAGTTTACCTTCTTCCGTTCGTTTTATTTTACAATCTAACATAGCTAATTCTCCTTGTTCATTTTCCGATTCAAATGTGAATTCTTTCCCATTTTACTAGTGATTTTGTGTGTGTGAAGAAAGTGGAGATATGTTCTGTTTCTAACATTGTGAAAGTGTCATCCACATATCTCCACCATATTTTTGGAGTAGGATTAAGTGTATTTAGAGCAATATTTTCCCAGCTGTCCATAAAGATATCTGCTACGATGAGGGATATTGGTGATTCCATCGCTACACCTGTTTGTTTACACATTTTGCCCTTGAATTTAAAGATAGTAGATGTCAGGCACTAATGAATTCCTAAAATAATTTTCTCAATGGGTAGCTTTTTCCTAACAAGTTATTTATTTTACTAAAAAACATCTTATTCCCCATCTTGTTAACTAACAACACTCGTCTCAATTCCCATTTGTATTATATTTTATTGACAACACTAATATTGTTTCCGAATGTACTTTATTTTCCTATCTGTTTCGCGCATGTCCTTTGAACTTTTATTGATTTCATTCATGTCTAATCAATTTTTACTCATGAATATAAACGAGGCAAGAAAGTTGTTTGAGTACCTTGATATGATTATGAGCAATAAGTTGTGCTCGAAACGTCATCAGTAAATATTACTGTGTAACGCTGGGGGAATTATCAGATTCAACGTGTTGGTCAGGCGAAGTTGAGTAACTAAGAGATACTTTATTCATGCATAGATTGCAGGATTTACACCTTGGTTAGTCGGGAGTTCTTTTCGTTTTTGAATATTAATTGTTTTATTATAAAGTAGGCGGGATGGTGTCGAGAGTCTTTAGACGATATTTGCTTGATTGATTTCCTCTTCAGTCATCGTTGTATTAGCGGAAAATTAAGCGTTTTCAAAGAGGATAGATTGTTTGCATTCAGTGGAACCATAAGTAGGTGGAACGACGAGTCGATTCATAGAATTTCTTTTACTATATGCTGGCAGTCATTGGAAGTTACTGGGATAAACTGCACAAACTATATTCGGCTGATGATACGTAAGACTTTACTTTTGAGTCACATGATTTATTCACTGTGGTGAAGCAAGTTACAACGGTTTTGTGAAGCCAGTATCATTTTGTTATGTATGTAGAAAGCTTTTTATTTAAATTCATATTGTAATTTTGCATAATTTTTCATCTTCAAAAATTGTTAGTGTGCTGATAGAAACATATGTTAGAAAAATAACTGGATGGCCACAGCACAAGTTCATCGCTTTCAGCAGCGTGTTTCAAATCTCCAGTCACATCATAAACTTGCGTCAATTAGGCATTGTGAAGCTGTAAACAGTTATGTCAATCAGAATAATGCACTAATGAATTGTTTGCTAATTAATTTGAAAGCTGCAGATAAAAATGTAAAAAGAACAAAGAGAACTACAAAACCGAGAAATACACATTCTCACGTAAGTTATTATTTTGCATAATCTTTATAAATCTAATTTTTCCAGTTAAAAAAGTCTGCACGTTTTACTGGGAAGTCGTATGCTATGCAGCCACCTTATGTTGAGCAAACCAACACAATGTATCACCACTCAATACCAAGACAAACAAATTGTGTCAATCGATGTTTCACCAAAGAATTATGGAATGAATTCGGTACAACAGGAATGGGAAATGAACAGTTTGCCTGTAATTCAAAAGAACCAATATTTCCACCACCAACATATGCAGAACCAAGTGAACCGGCTATATTTGACGATTGTTCCTGGAAAAATTGGCTTAGCGATGATAAAGATAGAAATGATAATGTTATCCTCCAAAACAAGTGGCCGTCTGCAACACTTCAGCCTGACTATACTTTATGTAGCAATAATTATTCATGTGATGAAGTCAATTCATTTGTTTACAATGAAACATTACAAGAAAAACGCTTTTGGAGTAGTGATAATCCCCTAAATGATCGTAGAAAACAAACAGCTAATTTTACTAGTGATTTTAACTTCTCTGTTCCACAGTCGGTGGATTCTTATTGGTTGAAACAGTCCACTTCTTACAGTGACATCAAACATTCACCGCTTGCTAATACAGATAGTTATGTGTATGATGAAACATTGTATGCTAGACAAAATTCCTTCCGTAGTAGTAGTACTCACAATATTATTTCTGAAGATGTAAATTGTTTTCCAATTAACCGGATAGGTAATTATTCACTAGAATATAATCCTCTTAATATCAACTGCAGGATATCTGAATCATGTAAAAATTCTATTAACCCAATACTTGCATCCACTTATCCCCCATCAGGATCTAATTCACATTATTATCATTCAACAACAACAGGCTTTCATACTGATGAGTGTTTGAAACCTCACTACAATTATATGCCTTATTATCCTTCTGACTATAGCAGTAATAGTAATAATAATAACAACTGTAATGAAAGCAATCTAAGTGATCAACCTTGTACGGATACAAGTTTATCGGCAGCAAAGCATTCATTAATGTAAATTACTCATCAGCTTCTTTAATTATTTATTTTCTTATCCATACTCATATCTTTTATCTCGTAATCAATTCCTGTAAAATTTATAGAAGTTAATGATAAAGAATTGAGTTTTTGTGATACATATCGATAGAAAACAGAACAAAAAACTTTTTCTGCGCCTGTCTCTGCGGTTATTCTTTTTTCTTTTCAGTAAAATTAATATTAGTCATTTATCTATTCATATCCGTTTTATTATTAGGATGTATAGTCCCACCCCTTCCCTCGTAAAAAATGATATTGAGCCATATTCAAGCAATCATGATACTAAATTTTCAATTATTTACTATTTGTACTGTTCTGATGAAATGAAAAGCGCCATAAATTGACTTCTGTTTTAAGTTGTTCCGTGTAATTAAATATAATTTTATTTTGTTCGTTTCTGTTTGTGTACTGTTGATTAAACTCAGTTTTTGGGATAGGTTTTTCTCACATTTGTGTAAGGGCTGGTGATTCTTTCCAGTCACCCCTGGGCTTAAGCAGGTGCAGTAGAACCCGACGTTGAGACCTATTACCTATAAGTCGAGTGCTTAATCCATTCAATTACTGATACAAACATATTTTGTGTACGTCGAAGTAGTATTTATTTCGGCTTACGTCTAAAATAAGACGGAGAGAGTTGAGTTCTATGAACTTGCTCTTCTGTAAATATATGTTGACGTAAATTATATAATTGTAGCAACATTATCAAGACACTGTTTCATATGACTTTACAATATACTGTCATTTGATAATAATTTAAATCCCCTTCAGTTAATTTACTATCTTTACATTGAAAACTTGCTTGCAAGTGTCGATAGTTGGGTCTTAATGTTAAACTGTTCACTTATATGTAGGCTGTTAAGGCAATCTTTATATTATTTACTATATTTATTTACTTAAGTAATCATTCATATTTTAAGGTCTATTCAAGCTGAATGAGGTATTTTAGATGGTCATGTATGGAGTTAACTTCCCCATATTCAAAGGAACTGTATCATAATATTAGTTATTTAGAACTCAGATAAGTTTGTTTGATATGTTTTACAGTGATAGAGTATTGATGTGCAGATTGTTTGGAGAATTATTTACTATTATTGATGCAATTTTAACTACTAGATTTTGATCAGAACGTCAACCAATTATTAATACAATATCACTATGTAGCAAATTAAATAAACTTTACTAATATGGAACTATATGCCACCACAATGCCCTGAAGTTAGAACTGGCGATGAGCCACACTTATTACGTTAGTGCTTGTACTACCCAACTGCCCAGGCTGAAGTAGGTGAGTCAGGATTGGAACCTTGGACCCACTGGCTGAAAGTGGAGTGCTTAAAGTATTAATCCACAATTTTCATATTAGTGTTTTATTTCCAGATGTACAAACTCTCGACCTTAAACCATTGGATTGAGTGTTCAGGTATAAATTTACTAGTTTCATCGTACTACTGTCGTGGTGTGTGTTGCTGATAAAGATTTACAAGTAGTATTTGGCGACGTCTTCTAAATTTTTTATTATAGCTTGATTCCACACAGTACTTTTGATACAAGTATGGAATTTTCAGCATGTGATATCGGTGGCCCAAATTTAGCAGGCCGACCATTGATATCAGGTGTACGTCTGCCGGGGATCGGACCCTGGACCATGTGCATGGTTAGCAAGAGCCCTAACCGCTGTGCCACCGACGCACAAAGAATCTTCAACAGCTGGGTGACGAACTAAGTTACAAAGGGGAGAAGTGAAGATTACTGTAGAGCAGTATTGGAAGCATCGAATGATGACAGAAGAAGCAAAATACGAATAACTTTAGCAAATTGGAATTTGAGGTTTCTATACTTTGCCAGATAAACAATTCTGCCGACACATACCACTGAATTCTGCTGTTATACAAACACAATTTTTATTTGTAAGCTGACAGAGGAATTATATATAAGCCTATTTTTTGTATGCCCCCCCTGAGTCAGCAACTCAAATCCTACTCCAACTAGCTCAATGGTTCTGTCTGCAACAGCAACATTTGATGACGCGGTTCAGAATCCCCGAGAGGAGATATCAGTTCTTCCAAATTTAAAGATATACCAAAATGATAAATGCCAAAAGCATAAAACTTAGGTTCAGAGATCTCTACCGATTGCATCCATCTAACTATGAGTACTTTTTATGCTTCAACTTCTAACACAAACGATAATTTTGGCTTAACTGTATACAAAACAATCCATGAACCTGTAGTGCAACTTTCACGGTTAGAAAGCAGGTCAAACTGTATAATCTTAATTAAATAGACGTCTAGCTCACCTGCTTGGCTTAGGAGTTCTAAGTTTCATTTTAACGGGGACACATACAACCAAGATCGGACGCTATTTCAGACTTTTCCTTTGTCCTGGTAACACAGACATCCGAAGAGTTCTTAGTTCACCCATACTACTCAGACAGAACCCTAAAATCTTTTATCCTATTTATATATATTTCTCATCAAAGCATATTTCCAGAAAACTAAACACTTGATTTGCGTTTTGTAATCAATATTTGCGAGTCATATAGTGTCCTGATTAAATCGAGTAATTAGGCACATTGAATTTATGATGACGATGGTGTATATACGGCAACATATCAACTAGTCACCTTACAAATTGATGATACTGGTCATTTGCCGAATTCTTGGTTTAATTCACTTTCATTGATTCAGCCTTACTGGTCGTTCGTTAGCAAAGACAAACAAACAAAATAGACTTTAGTAGAATGGGGAGTTTTGTTTTGAAAAAAAATATACTGAGCTTAAAGTAAGAAAAGCAAAAAAAAAAACAAAAAAGGAGGGAGGAGATAAAACAGAAGTAAGTTTAACAAGCATATACATAAACTACACTTTAGGATAAGTGTCTGTGTATAAAATGGGGATAAGATATTATGCAACCAATATGGCAATATATATATTAATAACGTTTGTGTTTGTAAATAACATTGTTAATAAAAATAATGATAATAGTCCTAGAAACAAAGAAAAAATGCTAAGCAATGGCAATAATCACATTGACGTATGTTATTAAATCAGCAAAAACTATTCAAATAAAGTAGTAAATGAGAAAGCCACCCATCATGGCTAATGTAAAATATATCATGATTTATGTCAAAAGATGGGGCAGTACTAGTCGTTGTATATGGATATTTGTACTACCAGTACTTTTGGCAGTAGTAGTAAGTAGTATGTGTACACTGAATGATTAATTTTTACACTTAAGACAGAGAAACAAAATGTTAACATACAGATAAGACAGTGTTTAAATAATATGCAGAGAAAGTTACAAAAATTGTTAATAAGTGAAAGAAACAGAAGTCTTGAAGGGCAGGGGCATAAGTGATGATGATGATGAGATAATGAATGAGCAGCATTAAAGGTACAATTGACTTCCATTTATGGAATGTATATTATAGGAAGACAAGAAAGGTAAATAGGTAGATGTATAAAAATTATCTTGTTCAGCCGTAAGATTGTGCAGATTTGATTTGATGATAAAGTGATGAAAGGAGTACAAAATGTATGTTTTCTGGATTTAATCAGTTTTATCTGATCGTTTTATATGTATATCTGTCCTTAATGGATTTAAAGTAAGATCTATAAAAGAAATAAAAAAATCGCATTACATTAAAGACTGATGGCAAAGTTGCTGATAACTCACAAATTTGATAAGAATCATACGATTTTGTACAGATAGTGGTTCGTGGTTAGCCATGGCTGTTTGATGACTGATTTTTCTCCATATTTAACATCAAATTATTGTTTATCAAACTGTGTAGCAATGTCCTGTTGCTTAGCTCAGCGGGCTTCAATCTGTTTGATGTCGCTTATGTGATTTCCAATCTTAGTGAGGTTTAACTACGAAGCCTTCATTGGCCTTATAAGCAACTTCAGTGTGGAGTCGCATTGGACATGTGTAGAAGGACAATGGCAGGATCAAATGGGCAGGAGCATGTCAGGCGTTCATTACTCTGAAAACAGTGTATAGGCTTACAGTAATCATGACACGGAAAAAAGCAGGATTTTTAAGATTAGTATCAATTCACTGATTCCATGTAGCTTACAAACTTGGCGGGCGTGTCGTCGAAAGCATCTGAAACAGGCTGCTGGGGACTCTTATCAAAACCAGTCTTCGCTCGATACTGGGATCAGGTGGCCAGAAAGGATAAGAAAACACCAGGAAACATCAACAACCCGTTGCGCCAAAAATAGGCAGAAGAAAATGGAGATGAATTGGAAATACCCTGAAAAGACCACTAAGTAACACTGACACGCCACACCCTCGAGTGCAAATCGACCGGTGCGTGATGAGTTGGAAGCGATTCTGAGGGTACCAAGAACATAATGCGGAGAGTAAATAAAATCTTGTGGGCAATCGTAGAGCCAGCTAAAAATCACCACAGAGGAGACAGTGAAATGCGATTTGCTGCCGAAGCCCTATATTCAACTCGGGACCAAAAGAATGAATAATATTGATAATCTAGTCACATGTTTAAAATTTTGTTAGTTTAATTGTTTAGAACAGCAACAACAACAAGGAAAAATCATACATTACTGCAGACGACTTACTGTGTAGAATATCATCCATCAAACCATCTGTGTCCAGTTGACGAGTTCTTGGTTTTCGATGACGATGTTCACGTTTCGATGAAGATGATGCCTTTTTACAAAACGTAATAAAATAATGATAATGCTGTGTGGGAAGAAGGCAAAATTTTAGACTTATAGTCAGAATTACAGATTGTGTTTTTGTGCATAAGTGGTGGTGAGGCTATATGAGGTAGTCTTGAGTTGACAGACTGTAATTAATGTAATGGATGATGATTGAGAATGAAATGAAAACCTCAGTCGCAGCAAGATTCGAATCAGAGATCTGCGGATTACTAGTCCACAACTTTACCAACTGACCTAAGAGACCCAACTGTTAACCGGACCACCATTTCATTGAAATCCCCAGCTGTCATGTGAATGAATGATACGTTAATGCCCGTTGATCACCACACTGAGTTATCCAGCTAGTTAGGTCTTATTCTGTCAATTATAATCATATAGAATTCAAAGATGATCAAGTTGTTCATTAATCCTAAGTGAAATAATAAGATTTAATACGCAATAAACCATGAGTTGTTCAGTGGCTTAGCAAATATTGCTTCAGCGTTTGAAACGATTGCTGCTACATTCGAGTCCGGTTGGAAATACTACCACCATTCAGCAGATGTGTCGCAAAACGACTACACACACGTCCTATATTCCAATGCTAACCGCCAACAACCAATAGCATATGAGTAGACGGTTAACACTGGGTTTATTTATGATGAAGATCTTAGAAAAGGATGACGAAAGTCCATTATAAAACAACTGTCTAATGCACTTTAACTTGAAATCGTATTGACCGAAAAACATAATCCGGAAAGCAATACTTTTACCAATCAGGCAAAAATAAAGTTCTCATGGTGATCCCAACCCATATAACAGTTTATTTTCCGTTTGTCTAACTACCGATGACACTTTTAATCATTAGTTATATCTCTCAAGACACCAAAATAAACCTAATCAAACAGAAACATTGAATATTAAGCTCGCTGACTATCAGCCATTGGACGTCGGGTCTGGGTCTTCATTAATATCAGCCTGGGTGACTGGGTAGTATCATCCATCAACCGTCACACAATAAATGAGTCTTATTGACTCCGGTTTTGTCAGATGGTAGACAGCAGTGGTAAAAAATATTAATAAATATTAATCACCCCTAACCATTACAGCTGTTAAATTGACATGGTGGCTTCCAATCACAATGAGCAAACGAACTACACTGGGAGCAAGAAAGGTCCTACGTAACAGAAAGGTTTGAAAGCGGTCGACTAAAAGCAGTGTATTACATTTGTTAGGGGGGGGGCGGGAGTCTGTGGGTGAAGTCGTACTGCTGGAGAATAGGAGTGTAACA